GAGCAAATAGTGGCCAGCCAGGACTGGAGCATTGACTTGAATGAACTGCCTTGGCGATGTACTGCAGTTGGTAAATCGAAGAGTGAGCGTTGAGGGATCAGTACGTGAGTTACTCCATTCCAAACAAGCTGTATTGCACAACTTGGGCTTCCCATGATAGTCCCATCTCTGAGAAATACAACGTGGCTATCTTTTTGCGTCCATCCAACATTGCAGATAATCAGATCGCAAGTGATCAATGTACAGTGCATCTGTAAAGGACCATCTTCGCTAACGTACCGGAGCTTACGCTCCCGTTGTCTCCTTGCACGGAACTACAATTTACTAGCTCCGGAAGTTGTCGGCTCCATCGTTTTTTTTAATAAAAAAATCCTCACACATCCTGTCTGAAAAGCCTCTATTTAGTGATATTGAAATCTAATTATTATAATAAGAAGGTAATTAACAAAATAACAACTCAAAATATGCAGCACCCCCATCTTCATGTATGTCCCAGTTCACATGCATGATGGTACAGATATTGTGGCAATATTAGCGAGTGTTCCCATCAAGATCTTCCTGTTTCGCGCTGGCGTCAATTACTCTTTATCTAACGCGATACTACATAAGTCTTCGATGTTCGGTGGGGTTAAAGGTCCTATATTGTTTACCTACTGGAGTAAAAACAATCAAATGCTCCTATTATAAAGAGTGGAGATATGTATTTTGTTTCGTGTCGTCAACCCGTTCGTGACACCAGTCGAGAATGGTGATGTTGGGAAGAAAGAAGAGTTTTATTGTGCCCAATTTTAATGCGATTCGGCTTGCTTCATAGATGCAGACTACTGTACATGTGCTGCTCGATTACATGGTACGGAGTGCTCTCTTCAGCAGCTTTTTCATCAGTGATCGCAAGAAACTACTACTACGAGTTATATTTTCGTGACCACCGATGGAAAATTTTACTAACCGATGAGATCATCTCGTCTTTCGAGATTGTTATCAAATCGAAATTTGTCGGTGGCACTATTACTGTATCAATTAAGGAAGTATCAATGGCGGCACCGTGACCGAAAATCCACTTGCTGGATCCAGCCACGGGCGGAAGTGCTTAAATCACCATTGAATATGTATGCAATTCTCCGATATCATTAGACCGAACCAGGTTTTAAATCGTGGATGGGAGGGAGGGGGTAGCTTCAAAAGGAGCCACATTAAAGACTGATTTTCAGGTTGAGCGAATTTCAAGCCGATGGCGTCTTAGGCAAAATTCTAGCTAGATTTAGTTAGCGTCCGGAAGCTTACGCTGTTTGAACCTTCTTCAAGTAAAGTGGTATGCTAAGGTTCCGCCATCGTCATTTTCGAGGTTTGAATACCACGACACCTGCCCCACTGGGAACTTACGGTTAGGTATTTAGAGCAAATGACTGCTCTGACTATAATAAAGCACTATCATTTCATGGTATTGAAAATGCATGTTGATCGGCCTTTAAGCAGCCCCAACGGCTTCATGCCCAAGCGCGAAGGGTGTTCTTCAGCGAAAAGAATCCACCAATTCGCAGTTTGTTTTTTAGACATGAAAACCTTGTAATAGTGTTATTCGTAGATGAAGTTGAGATCTCATAATGCTATCACTATCGAGAGGATCGCCCGTACCTGTAGCTTAAACGACGGGCCCTAGTTGTCATCACAGGAGCCTTGCTGACCATGGAGGGTCAAATCGCAGAATGAGCGGATGGTGATGATTACGGCGTACCGAAGCTGCATGTTACATACATTGAGACAGTGTATTACTGCTGCAGGAACACAGAAGAATGCGAAGATAACACATTTCTGATGACGAAGCTAGATATCGTCCATTTGTGATAGACGTGCCTATGATGGCTGGATTTTAATCCAGATCCAAGAGTCCATCCATTAATCGCCATGGAGGTCAGAATTCGTGTATAATGTATACCCTTCCTGAATCGCGGAAGAGCCCTCAAAATATCCTCTGCTATAGCAGATATTCACAAAGGAGCTGTGGTAGTTGACCCATCCGCGAACGATTAGGACGAAATACGTTTCTAGTTTTATACTCCAGTATCATTATCTCATTTCATGTTGCATACAAAGTCAATTCAAGCCACACAAGCAACATTTGAATTTTATTTCCGTTCGAGCGACAGTCATTAAAACCATGTTAATATCACAACGGAACCGCCCCTAGAAAAAAATGTATACCACAGTGAAGCTCAAGCCCTGTAGCCATAGTATTGTATGAAAGCTCAAAGATCTTGTCTACTTGCCGAGTCAGCAGCACGGGCAGATGCTGCAGCTGTGAAGCAGGTGCAAAGAGATGTTTATCGCATAAGACCGACCGAAACAGTAGGTAATACTATCCGTTAGGCTGAAACTTGTTAGTTTGTACCGCAACATTCATTCGAGCTGACTGTCAAATAAAAATACTATTGTCTATCATGCAAGCGTGTACCGGTTACGATGCTTGTCGCTATCCGCTCAGCGTTGTTTATCTACATGGTGCGCCAGGTGCGCCATGCTTAATAAAACGGCATCAATTATAATTAGC